ATGTGATTTGCCAAAAAGATCAGAGATTTCAGGTGTATGTTGTCCGCACCTGGAGTTGCATTTTTTCGCAAAGCCATTGGTTTTGCTTTGACGTTTTCAGCAGTAAATGATACGTAAGTGAGTGAAGGATGTGGAAGATGATGCAACCGTTGGGGTAGTTGTAAACCTTCAACTTGCAGTGCTGCCAATACGTTGGAATAATGAATTTTCAGCATTTCCGCCGCTTCCGTTGGAGCGGCTGCAACTCTTCCAGCGCTACTTATTACTGGTATACGAAACTTTACTTTCCGAATGGAGTTGACGTGTTGGTACAACAGCTTAGGGTTAGGAACGTCGATAGTTAAACACTGAGAGATACAGCCCAGAACAGAAATTAGTATCACGAATGCTGTACAGACTGTCTTTTGGAATCTTATGCCTCATTTCAGAATAAAGAAACTCAAAGCAGTCTAAAAGTACGCGATGAAAACACAAAAAGTTGTTGTTCTCTTTTTTACGAACCGCATACCTCTTAGTTCTTTTAATTGCCATCGACACCCCCATTTCCATTTCATTTATTGGCAACATCTTTGCTCTCAAGTCGATATATTTATTTATTTATTTATATATTTATTCTTATTCTTTACTCCCGAAGGTAAAAGTGGTCAATCGAAGAGCTGCCATACACCACACGAAAGATGGGGAACAGATAAAGCTTGAATCATGTATCGTTTGCAATTAGATTTATTTTTTTCTGTGGGTAGGACACCGAATTCTGGGATAATGCAAATTCAGAAACCCCACAAGATCATCTCCGGAAGTAACTTACATGCAATCGGTTCCGATTTGAGAATTTTCCGATAAACATCCGTGTTGAGTAGGACGGTGATCAAGTGTTCTGTTATCTGGTTTCTGGTTAGGTATAAGGTATAAACTCATAAGTATGAAGTGGATTGTGTGCATCCGGTCAAGGTGAAACTGTTAAACAATGAACGCTTTAGTAGTCTTAGATCCTTACAGGAACGTTTGGATTAGCAACAACGAGAGAAAACCAAAAAAACAATTTTCGGTAGTCAACCGACGCATACCAAACATGGCAACACGCACTCAAACTATCCAGAAAAGCTTGCAACTTACCTGGATCATCACTTAGTAGCACAATGTCGTCTGCATACTCTAGATCAGACAGTTTGCCACCCGGAAGTAAATCGATGTCGCTATCCCTGCACGAGGATAGAGCTGTTTCAAGAAATAAATCTATGACAAAGTTAAATAGGAAAGAAGATCACAGAAGATCGCCTTCTATGGGGACTCCTAGGTATTTGGTGGTGTTCTCATTGCGGGTACTGAGTGATGAACGAGAGTTTCAATAGATACCCGGATCACAAATTGCTTTCGAAGAATATAGAATCACTAGGATGAAGATCAGATTAATCCGAAAATGTTCGCACTTGAAATAAACTGTAAGAAAATGATGCAATGTCAGATGGATTTCAGATAGCCACATCAGAGAGCCATATCATCAGTTAATCTCAAGATCTTGGCTGGAGGAATGAAGAGTAAGTCATTGATAACTGTCAAAAGCACAGCGGCCTAAAACACCAAAAGAACTACCGATTAACACTTACATTTGCATTTATTCTCTGAATGCTTCCCGAGAAACACTCTTTCGATTAGGACAATGACGTGATGGGACAAAAATAATTGTAACTTTAGGAAAAGAATAGAACATGACACGGAATCCAAAGCGGAAGAATAATCGAACACACATACAAAAACACCCTGAACGGACTTTGGGGGACTACAAAAAAGTGCACCTGAGAAGAGACAGCATCTACCACATCTATTCGGTTTATGTGCAAATTAAAACGGGTCATTAGAATCACTAGTAGTAGACCGCAAACAATTAAAAGTGTGCTTCGTTAGTTCAATCTGAGAATTAATGGGAATTGGATGGAAGATTTGGATAAAATATTAGATGAGGAGGAATTAAGACTGAAAACAATAGTGAACGGTTTCCAAGTGTGAGAAGTTGAGCGTGTATAAATAGATTTATTAACAAGGGGGGGGGTCTGTGCCATACATGAGCATTAACCAAACCAGTTGGGCCCCATTGCCCTCATGGCTTTCTTAATTCTAAGAACATCAAATACTTCCTCGTGGAAAAACCCCTCCGTGATAGACAAGCAATCGTCAGGATTTGAAGGCAGAAAATCGTCCGAAAGATAAATAACTGCAGCATTGAGACTGTTCACATCAATAGGTTCGTCTTCTGTTCACAAACCAATCTGATCATTTCCGACACATACCTTCTATTTCTTTATCTTAAGAGCGAAACATTCAGTTTTTAACCTCCTTTTTGACTTGCAATGAAAGCTGTTGTTTGCTGCAACGACGAACACAAACGCAGTACGACCAACCGAAGGATTTAAGTTGAACGGAGATCATCTCTAAATTTTTTTGCTAACCAAAAAAATGCAGAATTACCAAAGCCAGTTAACAATTCAAACGGTCTGGTTGATCTCATATGCGCGCTTGTATTGATACCCAAGACGTAGACTGTGATTCAAAACTTCCGATTATTGAATAATTTCACACACGATCCAATCTAGTCTGCCATAGTCCAGGTCTCCCATTGGACACGCTTTATTCATTTCCCCTAATCTTTGTGTTTTCCCATTAGTTTGCAAACGTATTATCACCAGGCGAGGTGACATATTCAATGCTTACGGATGGCAGCGTTCTGCTCACCTAGGCCAATGGGCAGAGGCCAGACGAAGGTAAGTCTTACAAGGCCAACAGCTTGGGCACTTAATTTCCTTTCACTATCCACGTTTGCCCCTGGAGGAGTCACTCCAACAAATAAACACGGTGAGGGGCAGTTTGCCAGTCAAAAACCTCTAGGGAGACGAAGAAGTGGGGTAAATGGGGATTCCGCTGGACGGTGGGAGAATTCTCTGCACTTCGTTGGACAACAACCACCCACCCAAGCTGGGCAGCCCCCAGCCAATAAGGTATTGTGCGATTCACGTTCCGCTTGGCTCATCGCGCGCATGAGACTAAGGGCCGATCGCTGAACAGCGGACTGAAAATCAACGCACCAGCGAATAACACACTGAACCCAAACCCGAAAGCCTTGCGTGACAGGTCGTTAGAAGCTCCAGCACTGCTGCTTCGGTCAAGCCCCGCGTTGGATTTATGCCCCACTGCCTTGTGGGTCACACTTTTGAGGCTCCGGTCAAGGTTTCTAAAAAGAACCTTCATCGGTGTGGGCTACCGCGAAGCGTGTCATGCTTCGTCTACCTCGAGAGTTGTATGACGGTTGGCGGAGGTGTGAGCGAGATCTCTCAACGCGTAATCAAAGTTAAACTAGCGTTTGCTAAAACTGCGGCATCTCTGGTGCCAGCACATGTACCTTTCACTGAAAGGACCTGTGTATTGCGCAGCAGTACGCACTATTGCTCTACAGTTGCCAAACTTGGCCTCTCCGAGCAGATCATGTCCAACGACCATCCGTCTTCCACAACCGTCGTCTGCACATCGTCCGCGAATGGATGGAGTATAGTTTTTTTGTTACGATGAACTCAGACGACAAGTGTTAGGGTCAGGTAGTCTTCCAATGAGCGAAATCATTTCATTGCATCATCTTGCCTCCGAAAGCCTCAGAATGGTCGGGGGTAGGTGTCTAGGGTTGCGGCTGGTCACACTTGCACTTCGCGAAATGCTCCCATACGACCAAGCATCTGAAATAGCCTCTGCTGAGGAAGCCCTTTTCACTGCCTTCTCGTGACGAAGGTGTTTTTGTACCAAAGTGAGAGGACGAAAAGCCAACATCTGGGACTATAACCGGGTTGGTGGACCACTGGTGGCTCACTTAGGGGAGTCGGCTAAAAACCCTGATTCCAAACCAACCAAGAGGTGTACTAACCATACACACGCCTTCCAGGTTGCGGCAGTGGCCACCGGCTCGATTGGGCATCGAGGTGCATTGGGCACCTTTGATGTTTGACCCCGTCCGAAGGGTATATAATCCGATGGACTGAACATCGGCCCCCAATGAAATGCGATTTCCCCACACCACCCCGCTGTTTTACAGGTCAGGCTTTGGTTATCCGACAGCTCCGGTTATGAATTGCCTAAGAAAATCCACCTGCCATGGCCTGAGCAACCTGATAGTATTCAGTCAACAAACAAATCATGGAACGTTTTCGTCTTTATGAAGATCATTGTATCATGATTTGTTTGGCACAGTCTGGATTCAGACGTGTGAAATACATACGTACTGCATCGTCGTAAGTGGCTGAGGCAAGTCCTACGAATGCCCGAACGTCTGCCATAGCATGCGCTATTTGTGGACATTGGTCCGGGTTGGCAGAAACATCGAAGTGGGCACGCTATGACGTGGCGTACAGGGTTGAAGAGATTGTGCTCAAATTTGGCCTCCGTCGACATTTCCCGGTTGGGGCCCCAAAGATTCAGATTGTCTTTGGCTGGAGACACTGCGGGATACGGCATCGAACCGAAGTGAGTGACGTGAATGCACTCTTTCGTGTGTGCGACCACAAGTAAAACAAACAAAAATGTCAAAATGTGTATATACATATACGTATATATACCCCTCCCATTGAATCCTCATGTGGATTGTCACTCCGAATCCCAACACTCAGTTTGTCAGTTCACAAAATTGACCAAAGGGTCCTCGTGATCATTGCGGTAATCTCTTTTGGTATCTTACTACACTAAAGAGCAACTTTATTGCGACAAAATCCCAAAAGTGCGATTTCTCCATGCCCGGACACTGAATGGTAAGGACAGAATTCGTTGTGATCTTCACAATCTAATTAGCAGTCAGATCATATTTTGCATACTCAATGTTTCACTTTGTATCTTTTTTGTCAGTTTTGCATCAGTGGTTCCTTTTTGGCTGAAAGCTTGTGTATAACTGGCTAAATTTTCAGCATAAATACAAATCTAACTATGCAGTGCACCTTTCGGAAATAGAAGAAATCAAATCCATGTATTCAACCATATGGGAGGGCGGTAACCAACCTTCTTACAGATACATACCTCATACGACAGAGATCGTAAGCAACTTCCGGCAACTCCTCGAACACAATCCACCGCATAATATCCTGCGTCTCCGTTATCACATTTGATACCGATTCGTCAAGAACGGACTCGTCATACGCATACTCGTGGGTCACAGAAACACCATCTTGACATTTACCCTTCAAAGCAGATAAAATGAAAAGAAACAGGAATCAAAGAAAAGAAAAAAACACCTCGGAGACGAAGAAAAACAATGTTTGGAATACCATCATTGTTTCTGAACCGAGCTAGTTTTCCAATTCCCACTAAATAACTGTACGAAATCAATCTATTGCAAAAGTAAAATTCACAGTACTTGATGAGTTAGTATAGTATTGGAAACAAGCCTTAGAATATTTGGACCAGAGCGTAATAATAGAGAACTAAACTCGCAACTATCTGGTTGCTTCAAGTTAAGGAGCAGTGTGCTATTTTAGTGCCCAAATTGTTTTTCATCAGAGTGTGTTGGTAACTGTGAGTGACAATATAGGATATATAATCAAACAAGAAAAATTAAACGACACCAAATGCGCTCTATCGAATTAGGTTTTTCCAGTAAAAAGAAGAATGACCGGGATGAATATCAAGACAGACATTGCAAAGGGTTTTCTCATCTCTAAACAGGTTAACTGAATCATCCCATAAGCAACTAGTTTTCGGAGGAAGTGGTAGGCGAACAGTAGGTTTGCGCAACGAACAGGCAGAATTCAGTTGAATAAATGAGAATCACATCTTGTTATCACGCACTCCTCACAAACAACTGCGACAATCGTGAAAGCAAACTCCTAACATGACCTTCTAGCCTATGATTTCGCCTACCGATCAGCGTTCCCTTCAAAGGAAATAATAACCGCATTGTTGATATACGCCTTTGGAACGATTGAATAACCCCGTCACACGATAAATAAAGAAATTAATTGGAAACGATTGAATGAAAAAAAACAATTATTTCTAGTTAGTGAATTTCTATGGCGTTATTCGACGTAGCTTCCTTGTTTCTCCTCAGTCAAACCATGATTGAAATGGGATAGTACAGAATTGTAGCGGTGAGAATACAAAAGTACCAAGTCTATTGACAACGTAAACTACGAACCTGGTTTTTGGTACGGAGCGGTCGTTGTTGCCAACCCAGTTGTTCAATACAAGAAAAAATAGCTAAAGCACACAGTGCATCCATGTGACCGTGGACATTCTGACTGGTACAGATAAGGGATTTTAATCGACACCGATTTTTGGGTTCTCTAGCCCAGAGTAGTCGATTTTTACTGTGTCCACATTGAAATTTAAAACATACTCGTAATTGAGGTCACATTTCTCAATGTACCATGAAGCTGATAACTTAACCTGACCGCATTGCTGACTGAAACCGAACATGCATTCAGAATTCAGACGTATAAGATGAACAGCGTATTTTCTACCATTTGCCACTAGGCCTACGCAACGAGGTGTTATATATCTACACCAAGAAGGCAGAACGTGACAACAATCTCTGATAAAGCAGTCCAAATGAAGATTGTCGTATCACACCGGTTTCAGAAGGATTTAAACTCGCTGTGATCAGATTAGAATTTAAACTAATATTTCACGAAAGCACTGTTTTTTCACTGTAACCGTATTACCTACAATCTTAGAAAATTAAAGCCTAATTCCTGGCTCTGTGTTCTCTCTCTCCCGCCCCCCTCTCTCTGGCTCAAAAGCAATACTCAACACTTAGGGCTTAAGATAGTATAATCTTCTATCAACGATGTTTGTTCCTTTGAGAACAGTTTAACGGTGACTCTACTTCTTCATCTGTTTACGAACAATAAATTCTTTTTTGTCACACATTTTGTGTGATGAACAGCAGACGGGGTAGACCCCATTGTCGCGAAGACCTGTGATGGAAACCGGTCAAGTCCCGGAACATGAAGTGGTGAACCACCACATAAGGCCACGCTAGGTTAAACTAACGGACCAGCGGTTCCATTCAGAGGTATGTTTATAGAAAACCAACTTGGAGCGGCCAGTACTTTAATTTCAGAAGTTTCATACCATTCAAACGAAAAAGAAATCTGATTATATGTTCGACGAATAAGGTGGTAAAAATAGGCACTGGTGACATTACTGTTGCGTAGTTATCTTTTTTCCAGAAAGTTCTGTGGGTAATGGTAGTATCATCCATGAGGGACTTTTAAACGTAGAAGAGGCATTTATTTACCATTGAGAAAGGATGCACTCGCGGAGTTGGTTAACCGTAAAATGAGAACTTCGATGGCGAACGCATTTAGTGCGGTAAAATTAGTTGTCCTATTCAGTTCCAGACGAAGCCTGCGTTTGCAAATGAAAGACAATGTCCGTGCCTCTACAGTCTCATTTTGCGTGTATGTGTCCCTGTGGAACAATGCTCTTTGGCTATATGAGCATGAGACGATCTTCAAGAGTTCGGGAACACTGATGAAACTGAAACCATTACAAGTGCAATTGTTTCATACCTTTTCGAATGTAATCACATGGTTAATGGTTCTATAAACTCGAAACTCATACAATTAAACGATAAATCGTACACCCTCTGCCGGAAGTGATAAATGTAGCACAATATTCCGTGTTAGCATACTTAACCTATAAAGCGCATACTTTCAAATTCCTACTCTGGAAGACTAGGGGCCGTGTAGAGAATTCGAGACCCGTGGTAAGTTGCATCAGTTCTGCCATATGCGTCGCCTGCTTTCAACGTGCATTGGACCATCTCATACCTAAAGAACACGTACGAGATACCTTTGCGTACATGCATGTCACAGTGTGCGGCTGCGGCAGGAAACATATATCCGTAATATCAGCAACTTTAAAGACGACGATAAGAAACAGTATAAAAATCAACGAACACAAGAGGGTATCAAACGACCATGACGGATTGTTATTCCCGTTTTCCATCTTCTTTTGATGCTGCTGAAGTTTTTTTAAACACTAATAACTGTTTCAGTCCCTTAGTTTTTTATTTGCGACATCGTATTACCTTCAAAATGGTTACGGCACACCTTTCATTCCCAAACACCCGACAACTTACTGCCAAGTTACTAACCCGCTATCTCCACCCCGACTGTCTTCTATTCGCAAATTCAGAGTCTCAGAACCGTAAACCAGAACTGATTTTACAGTGACGCAGTAGACACGAGGTTTTAACTTCAGTGAAATGCCACGTCTTCACCACAGGTGCTTAAGTTGTGCGTACGCTGCTCAAGCCTTGGAAATGGGCGCGTTTATAACCTTTGATGGGCTACCGTCCCGTGCCCCATAAAAAACAAAACAAAAAACGATAAAATAACAAGAAAATTCCAAAAAGTGTGCGGTGGAACAAAATATTGTTACTCCATTTATTCGTAATTTTCCATTTCAACAGTTTCGTCTTCTTCCCGATGTTCTATATCCTAACCGCAACCCCAGTTGTTATTGTTGTGGTGCTGGCACCTTGCTTGTCCGCAAGCCGGTTAAATATACTACCGTCGTTGGTCATGCAGCTATCCAAGTACCAGAAGCAGTCAACTTCAGATAAGTCCTTCAGAACAGAACTCGGCAACACCCGGTCTTGCAGCATCACTTTGCACTTTGAAGGTGCAAAGCACATGCCGGACGGAACAACAGAACTTGCTATTGTCAAATGCGTTTTATGTACCCGCCATACATTCGAACAGGCAAACGATGTCGTCAGCATACTCCAAGTCACATAGATTTTCTCCAGTTCCCCAATCAACACCTACATCTGGGAGACCACTTGGTGCGTTCTCCAGTAATCCGTCTATGACTAAATGTGATTAGAGTGAACTCATCACGTTCAAACAATTCTGCCGTATTCCTCTGCGAAAAACCGACCCCATAAGGGACTCACGGACAACTGATTCCAAGGCTCCTTTTAGGTCAAGGAACACGACAACGGTTGGTTGACCGTGTGTACGGCATAGTTCGAGGATTTGACGCAGCGTGAAGATTTGGTCGATATAACCGCGACCTGACTGAAATTCTGCTTGTTGCTCGCGGATATTTGTCTCTCTGAATGGTGTCAGATGTCGAAGTATGACGGAGGCTAATAACTTGGTGACTGTTGGGATCAAACTTATTTCACGTTGTTTTGTTCAGTCGTTACTAGATCCCATCTTGAAAATGGGAGCGATTATTGATGCAAGATCGAACTTCTGTTGCAGTAGGAGGTTCAGATCACACTGCCCACGGAGTCTCAGCTACAACAGATCGACAGTCTGGTTAGCGCCAGGCTGAACTGTGCTTTGAAGTTCTCTGATTACCGGTCACTTTTGTCGCAGATTTCTTTCAGCTATTAAATGTCTTATAAGAAGATTCAACATTTAATTTACCATAAGGACTTCTATCCCTACACGGTGTTTTTACTACGGCTTTAATCCCTCTGAAAAGAGTGAATCGGTCTTCAAAATAGGACAGAAAAAGTAAAACGTTTAAACTGCACTCCGCAATATGGTCACGTGCACCTTCCAAATGGTAAAGGGGTAACCGCGCCCCTGAAACACTGCCCCGAAAGCGTCTATCTTGGAAATTACACAAAAAACGGCAAAAGATCAGCCTGTGAATCTCATCGAATGGCTAACAACACATCTGATTTTCAACTGAGTTATTCAACTCGAAATTAAAGACTCGGAATAAAAAACAGCGTGATGAAACCGAGGATATACAGTAACCCACAAGAGACCAACGGTGCGTCCTCCCACAGTCTTCGGCGGTTCACTGAATTTTTAGTCAGCACGGAAGAATGTTGTGATCCCGTAAGACAACAATATTAAACTAACAATACGGTTTTTATTTTTTGCTATAGGTACATAGTGGCTCAAGCCAATTGATAAGGCCGATGTGTCAGCGATCAACAATGCTGCAAGAACGTGATGCGTTGAAAAATTTTGTTCATGGCTTTATAAAAGATGCCAAATATGTAAATGATTTCTAATCAGGTTAGCATGAGTACTTGACTGAAATTTAAGATCAGATACTCGCAAAAGGCACTAACGCATGAGTAGGAAGATTTAAAAAAATTTACCGTAACCTTGGAGGTCTTTCGGGTCACTTTCCATGCCGTATTTTTTAATTGAATAACATCCTGACGAATCATTTGGAATCTTTCCATCGCATGCTTCCACTGGCCCCAGCAATGAACGTAATTATTGATAAGCATCTGAAAGAAATCTTTATTCTCACGGGCTACCGATACACCATGGTTTTCGTATTGAACATCCTAAATGTAAGACTAATTTTGTTAGAAGTACCTACCTTCAAAAATTCAAGTTCAACGGATTCAATGTCATCCAACATTTGGATTACATATAAATTTTTCAAACATTCCATCGTCAATGGAGCCGGGAGACTGTATTCAAATGGCACCAACTCCTGGCTGGTTGAGTCTAACAATGGTGCGGATGCAATGATGGTTGGTGCGGTAATTTCTTGTGGAGAAGGAAGTTTTGTATCTTCTAGACTAGGATAAAGCGAAGATGAAGTTGCTTGTGGAATGCCTTTCAGTGCTGAGGTGCCGTCAGTGAAGCCAGATGTGGTAAATGGTTCCTCATTATTCGTTTGATTTGGACTTGGAATTCTGGGCTGAACTTCATCATGAGTTTCAAGCTGAAGCTGAGCTGTTCGACCGTCACTCATATCGGTTTCTGTCGCTGACAATTCATTAGGTAGCGGGTGATCTGCGACCTTCATTCTTTCCAACTGTAAAACCAAGTCTGCGGTCTGTTTGGACTCTCACCAACAAAAGTAAGGTGCTTACCTTCACATTTTTACTGGTCGTTCTGCAAACTTCAGACATAATCACACGACTGGGAATCAGAGATGAAGCTGGATCATTGGCTCTGCAATCGAAATAAAAAGAGTAATATTAAAGAGAATAGTTCATTTAGGTTGTGCACTCTGTGTGTTGACCATAGAGGTTTAATTTCTTTACCTTCCTCATATCAGGCCCAAGCCCTATCTTGTACTTTCGCACATACGTTGTGTACTGAAATGTAAGCTTCAATACCTGCAAAGTCATATACAATACAATGAACTACATTGTTAGCTTGGCAGCGAACAGCAAATTCGCTTCATTGTATCACGATGGCGATGATGGATTTCGACACCCAACTTAACCTGAACGTTTTGTGTACAAAGTAACGGAGACTGAGTGAGAAAAAACTGAGTAAGATCAGCCACAGCCCGTTGGTTGTGGTTGTGATCATTTATTTATTATTTTCCTTCCCTCCATACAAAATGATGGCATGTATAATGTGGAGTACTAGTTAGGTGACCCGTCATCGAAAACAAAGTTGTTCGCTAAACTGTTTTCTTTCAATGCACGTCAGAGACATATTCCTGGAATCTCTTGATAGGTCCCAGAATTATCATCATCATCATCATCATCATCAACGCACAGCGAAAATCGCTGATCGCTATCAAGCTCTCGGGAGCGCAGAGCTGTATGCTACCGAGCGCGTCCCCATGTGGCGGATAGGCGAACGACCTTCATCTCGCGGCTAACCGTGAATAAGGTGGGTTTCGGCCCTCCGAATAAGCGGTCGCGAACGATCAGCGGCAGCGCACGAGGATGTGATGGATTTACCTCCTGGCAAAACACCACAAGTATCTGTGGACAGCGCTGTGACGCGGCGAGTGTGGCCCTCCACTATATATATTTCACTCACGTTTGAAGCCAGACTGTGTGCCAAACAAATCATGATACAATGATCTTTATAAAAAGAAAAACGTTCCATGATTTGCATGTGGGCTGAATACTATCAGGTTGCCCAGGCCATGGCAGGTGAACATTTTGAGGAATCCACAACCAGAGCCTTCGGCTGACCAAGGCAGCGGGGCGGTGTGTGAAAACCGCAATCCATCTGGAGCCGGTGTCCAGTTCATCGGATTATATACCCTTCGGACGNCACCTCGATGCCCAATCGAGCCGGTGGCCACTGCCGCAACCTGGAAGGCGTGTGTATGGTTAGTACACCTCTTGGTTGGTTTGGAATCAGGGTTTTTAGCCGACTCCCCTAAGTGAGCCACCAGTGGTCCACCAACCCGGTTATAGTCCCAGATGTTGGCTTTTCGTCCTCTCATTTTGGTACAAAAACACCTTCGTCACGAGAAGGCAGTGAAAAGGGCCTCCGCAGCAGAGGCTAATTTAGAGGCATGGTCGTATGAGAACATTTTGCGAAGTGCAAGGG